GGCCCATGTACGTTATCATGTTGCAGTCCTTACAACTGCCCTGTAAGGCAAAGCAGTCTTATGTGCAGTATGGGGGACGGAGGCCTAGAGGCCCACCTAGTGAGTATGTGGCCGCCGTAACATTTGACCCAGAGACCTCCCACTCCACAGCTCATTCTTTTAGCCCCTGCATTGTGCCCAGTTCACAATGAAGTGCGTGTGGCAATAAGCATACAGAATACAAGTCGCAGCAACACCTTTGGGATTAAAAAGCCAGTCCTCTTGTACTGGCAAATGTAGCAGTTGCTTGGGGTAGCCTCCAGGACACCTCTCTCACACACTCCCTACTATAGACTTCAATGCTACTCCACGCACCCACGCACAGTCACCAAAGAAAACTAGACTGTCAGGAGAGTGAGTAACTTAGAGCTCTTCGGAACACGATAGCTTTCTATATACAAGAGGAATATCATTCCAAACCAAGAGTCCCCAAAAGGCAGTGGTGGGAAGGCAGTATGGTATAGCCCGACCTTGACATATTTCAGAAACTCAACAAGGCCCGTACTTAGATGGGACACCACCAAGGAAGACTGCAGAGGAAAGCAATGGCAAACCATTTCTGCTTCTCATTTGACTGGAAAGGTCCTTGCTGGGGTCACTAGACCCTGACGAGACTTATACGCATGTGTAATGTAGGAATGGCTGTACCGTACGATGAGTGGTCTGTCTGGACAAAAACACTGTGCTCCCTTCGCAGGAAAAACCTCATACTAGATTGGTCGATTATATGCGAACACTCATTCACAAGAGCTAAAAGGCAGCCTAAAATCCCAGCTGTGGGGGTGGAGGGAAATCATTGGGCGTCTGCATTTTTAAAGTCACCTGAAAAGCATCATAAACTCAGCAGGCAGGCAGGCAGGCAGGCAGGCAGGCAGGCACACTTCTTTGTCTGTTTTCCCACCGGCAAATGTATCGTGCTCATCGTCAAAGCCCAGCATCCTTCAGACCCAAAATTGTGAAAGCCGGCGGGCTGAGGAATCCTCTTGAAAAGCATACACGAGAGAAGAGAAGAGAGAGGCAGAGGAGGAGGCACAGCAACGGTCTGACAGAACCAGAGCGTGATTTGGCTTGACAGCCCCGGCTTTGCCCGAGAGAGCAGGCGAATGAGTCGTAGTTGGCCGAGGGCAGCTGGTATACGACACGGCGTTCATAATTGTGTTCTCCCTCCACTTGGAATCCCAGTAATAAAAAAAGAAGATATGGAGGAAAAGTCATTAGATTGATGTCTTCTCTCTGCAGACCAATTCGCGGAAAACGCATCGCACTCGATTTGCAGGGCAACATCGAGTCGGGCTGGAGCTGCACGGGCAGCAGAATGTGGGGGGGACGATGCAATGGCTGAATGTGGAGGTGGGGGTGGGACTCTACCACTTCAGGCTGTCGAGGTGAGATGTCACCTGGGATGGCTTCCCTCCCCAAACAACTCACTGTGAAAAGAAAACTGGCTAACTGGGGGGAAAAGTTCTGGTCCAGCCCTTTGCCTGGCTCAATGGAAGAGAATATGCATAGCTTGCACAGAAGTTCCCAGGTTCAATCCCCGGCAGTTATAAAGATCAGAAAGAGGAGATATGAAAGACCTTGACCTGCGATCCTGAAAAGCTGCTGCCAGTCAGAGTAAACAACACTGACCTTGGTTTGATAGACCAATGGACTACTTGGTAGAAGACAACATCATGTATTTGCCTGCTGTGTGATGTTCTGTTTTGCAGGGAATGTTTCCCACAAGAGAACCTGCAAAAACATGATTCCCTGTCATGTCCCAGCATAGTGTAGTAGTTATAGTGCTGTACAAGGATCTAAGAAGCTGCAAGTTCAGTTCCCCATTCTGCCATGAAGCCTTCTGGGTGAGTTTGAGCCTCTCTCATACTACCCCGCAGGATTGAGGTGAGGTTAAAAGGTAAAGGTTCCCTTGCTCGAAAGCCAGTCGAATCTGACTCTAGAGTTGCGGTGGTCATCTCCGTTTCAAAGCTGAAGAGCCAGCGCTGTCCGAAGACGTTTCTGTGGTCATGTGGCTGGCATGACTAAACACAAAGGCGCATGGAACGCTGTTACCTATTTATCTACTTGCAATTTCTGGCTTTCGAACTGCTAGGTTGGCAGGAGCTGGAACTAGAGACGGGAGCTCACTTTGTCATACGCGGCACACTCGGGTCTTGAACTGCTGAACTACTGACCTTCCACAGCCTGCAGTTTAGCATCTTAACCACTTGAGCCACCGCAGCTCCATAATGTGAGGTTACCGAGGAAGACAAGAAGGAATAATAAGATAGGCTGTCCTCTGCTCCTCTGAGGGAGGGCAGGATAAAGCTCGTTCTAAATAATAACAAACGTCAATGTTTCATGATCTCCCAGTGCCTGAAGGATCATGCTCTGAGAAAGCACCAGAGTTACACGACCTCTGGAACCCCAACAGAAACCGATAGCTGGGAGGGGAGGACGGAAGAGTCAACCCCTCCCCTCAACAAAGATTCTAAAAAAGCCTGCCAAGGAAGCAGCACTGGTGGTCCCTTCTGAATCCTTGGAGCCCATTAGTGCATGCTGGAACTCACCCCCCCCCCAAACAGAAAAGGGAACAATGTGGTGCTGGAACGTGTCCCAGAAGACAGAGATCTTGTTTCACATAGAAGAAGAAGAAGAAGAAGAGAAGAGATTGGATTTATACCCCGCCCTTCCCTTGGAGTCTCAGAGCGGCTTGCAATCTCCTTTCCCTTCCCCTCCCCACAACAGACACCCTGTGAGGTGGGTGGGGCTGAGAGAACTCTGACAGAAACTGCTCTTTTTCAAGGACAGCTGTGCCAGAGCTTGTGACTGACCCAAGGTCAAATCAGCAGGTGCAAGTGGAGGAGTGGGGAATCAAACCCGGTTCTCCCAGATTAGAGACTGCACACTTAACCACTACACCAAACTGGCTCTCCATAGTCCGACTCATGAGGATGAATAGCTGACTTAACGGTGACTTGGTTTGGCTCCACTAATACACCAAGGATGGGTGAGCAGCAGGGCCAGCTATGGAGCCCTTCGGCAGCTGCCTGCAGGCCCATAGCTACAGTGGGGGCTATTTGGGGCTCTGCCCCCTTTCCTACAGGGACAGCCCCACAAGAGTTTTGCCTGAAAATGTTTTTTAAACTCATTAAAAAACTTTTTTCAAGGCATGTGCTGCCGCAGCAAGGCAGACGCCAAGAACAGATCAGAGAAGAACAGATCATGACCCGAGAGCGACCCCCAGGCAACTGATAGATGGTTAGGTAAAGGTAAAGGTTTCCCTTGCTCGAAAGTCAGTTGAAGCCGACTCTAGGGATGCGGTGCTCATCTCCGTTTCCAAGCCGAAGAGCCAGTGCTGTCCAAAGATGTTTCCATGGTCGTGTGGCTGGCATGACTAGATGCTGAGGCGCACAGAACGCTGTTACCTTCCCAACGAAGGGGTACCTATTTATCTACTTGCAATTTCTTGCTTTCAAACTGCTAGGCTGGCAGGAACCGGGACCAGAGATGGGAGCTCACTCCGTCATGCGGCACACTCGGGTCTCGAACTGCTGAACTACCAACCTTCCTGTCTGCAGTTCAGCGTCTTAACCACTTGAGCCACCTCAGCCCTGATAGATGGTTAAGAACTACTAAATAAAAAAGCCCAGGGGTTTCTTTTCCTGTAGTCTAGGGAGCTAAGACTCTTGGCAAATAAAGGCGAAAGGCCCAGACGATGCTGGGCAGAGGGGCGGCTCACGGCTCATGCATTCTCATGTGGCTTCAAAAAGGAATTAGATAAGCATATGGAGCAGAGGTCCATCAGTGGCTGTTAGCCACAAGGTATAGATAGGGGCTCTGGGGCAAGTGATGCTCTGTCATCTTGGTGCTTGGGGGGGGGTGAACAGTGGGAGGGCTTCTAATGTCCTGGCTCCACTGGTGGACCTCCTGATGGCACCTGGTATTTCTGGCCACTGTGTGACCCAGAGTGTTGGACTGGATGGGCCTTTGGCCTGATCCAACATCGGCTTCTCTTATGTTCTTATTCGTGTAGGTACGTCGCCGACCCAAGGATGAGAAGAGTCAGAGGCCAGTGGCTCCGCCTCTCACCCCATTTGCTAGAGGCAACCTCGCGAGAAGAAAGCACCTGGCTTGAGCCTCCCAGGCAGGCTGAGCATTCTATTGGGGGAGTCCCATGATCCCGGGGCCCATTCGTGGCGCACTCCGCTGTCGGCGGAATGAGTCAAACATCCCTTTAGGGCAAACCAGAGCTCCCCACCACTACCAGTTCCAATCGCACATCCAGCTGTTCATGCATGAAAGGTAACATGAGAATTACTTGCTGCACACGGGGTGTTTTGGGGGCAGGGGTGTTTATGTAGCCCCACCAGAAGGGAATTTCCCCACAAGCCTCAATAATCCTGGCTGCCTGGACTCTCCTGCTGTACCAGCCTCTCCCATCAGCTCCTTCTTGCGTGCCCTTGCCCTAGCTACCGAGCTGGAGAGCTTCTCTGCTGCCTCAGCAATCTTGCCTTGAGAGGGTTCCCTTGCTGGACAGCTCCTCTGCTCCTGCAGCTGTGCCCCCTTGGAAGCACGGAGGAGGGGAGGGACAATGGCTCAGTGGCAGGGCACCTGCTTGGCATGCAGAAGGTACCAAGTTTTACAGTTCTGCTGAGTCTGCTTTTAGTTTCTTCTCTTACTGGATGCCATAATTTTGGGCACGTCACCTGAAGGACTTCGTTGTGGAAAAGTTAGCAAGAACTCTTCCCAAGGGAAAAAAAAAATACAGCATTCCGATATTTTGTGGGTGGGTCTCAAGAAGTGATCCTCAGTAGCAGAATAGGGGTATGGCTTTTGTTTTTGCCTGTCAAGTGCTGGAGAAGGTAGTAATGAAGGCTTGGGGTGGGAGAGAATCAGAAAACAATGAATATTCTAAGCAACTGGCCTTTGGTCCTGTTGTTGACTTGGCCTTTGCAATCCCAAATTGGCATTCTTCCTACCTGGAGGGCAAGAGGTTTCCACCGCACATTCTTCAGAAGAGCAGGAGCAGACACCAGGGTGTTCTGAGGCCGTTTTTTCAAAGTTAGGATCACTCCGTTGGGGTCTTCACGCAATGCATTTACCAGGTTCTTCAGCTGCCAGCCAACCTGAAGAGAAGCAGGATTTTGAAAAAAAAATTCACATTAGATCACTGGGATTATGAATGTCATTTATGGATTTCTGTGTGGCAGGCAAGTGATGCTGCATTATTTATTTAGAATATTTCTATGCTGTCACTTCAGAGTCCTACTCAAGACAACTTACCATTAAAAAAAGCTACTAAAAAAATCAGACATAAGCAGCAAAAACTGTCCATAAAACAGAAACATTAAAAAGCTGATAAGATAAAACCACTAATTAAAAGCCTAGGTAAAAAGGTGTGTTTTGGTCTGTTACCTAAAGGAGTGACAAGTAGGCAGGCAAGCCTCAAAAGGGGGGAATTTCGAAGGTCAGATATCAAATCCCCCGTCGTCTCTAGTCACCGCCCAGCTCAACTCTGGACGGTGCACAGAGAGAAGGACTCAAGAGACAGATCTTAACTGGTTGACTGAATAGAATGGGAGGAGACAGGTACCCTGGCCTAAGGTTTCCAACCTCCCAGATCTCCCAGAATTACAACTGACCTCTAGATGACAGATATCAGTTCCTACTGGAGAACATGGCTGCTTTGGAGGGCAGACTCTATGGCATTCTACCCCACCTTCCCCAGGCTCTGCCCTCAAGATCTCCAGGCATTTCCCAACTCAGAGCTAGCAATCCTACCCTGGCCCCAAGGCATTTAGGGCCTTAAAGTTAGAACCAGCACTTTGAATTGCTCCTGGAAACAAATTGGGAGCCTTTGCATATATATATATCTGTTATGGAGCTGCGGTGGCTCAAGTGGTTAAGACGCTGAACTGCAGGCTGTGGAAGGTCGGTAGTTCAGCAGTTCAAGACCCGGGTGCCGCAAGACGGGGTGAGCTCCTGTCTCTAGTTCCAGCTCCTGCCAACCTAGCAGTTCGAAAGCAAGAAATTGCAAGTAGATAAATAGGTACCACTTCGGTGGGAAGGTAACAGCGTTCTGTGCGCCTTGGTGTTGAGTCATGCCGGCCACATGACCATGGAAACGTCTTTGGACAGCGCTGGCTCTTCGGCTTTGAAACGGAGATGAGCACCGCAACCCTAGAGTCGGATTCGACTGGCTTTCGAGCAAGGGAACCTTTACCTTTACCTATGAGTTTATATTACTGATGTGGCACCCTGGTTAGACTGTCAGACTAGGCCAGGGCCTACCGAGGTCCAAATTCCTTATCAGCCATGAATGTCAGAAAGTAGTTTGGGGCCATTTGCTCTCTTTCAGCCCAGTTTTCTTCTCAGGGGAAAACAGTATGAAAACCATTTAAGATGCCCTGAGCTCCTGAAGTAAGGGCAAGATAAAAATGTGATAGACATTATTCTTCACAAAAAAATAGGAACTCCGGAGTTTCTTTTGCATACTTTGCTACTTCTTCAGCAGAAAATAAAATAAATAGTGGTTGATTTTGTAAATAAAAAATGGCAATATAGAGATAAAATATCCATCTCACAGCAAAAAGCACACAAAGAGTTTTTTTAAAGACAGTGATGTACAGCTCTAATTTTTATACCCTCTAAACAAACTGAATTATTGCTTTTAATTATCTTTTCCACTAAAGCATCAGTGTGTTTCACTAGAGGATTACAGAACAGCAGCTTCAGAATAATTAGAAAATGAATCCTGGCTGTTGTAATGGAACCTGTTAATTTGGGAGGGGGGTAAACAGGAGGGGGCAGAGAAGGTTGTAGAACAATACTGGTGCAATTCCTTCAAGGTGTTTAATTAAGGATAAAACATCATTTATTTGACTTAGCAAAAACTCCACAGAGAAGAACTAAGTTCTTGAGTTATTACAAGCTATAACAATCACCTGAAATTAGAGCATCAGTCAGGAATGCATGAGGGCCACGCACTCACCTCCCCCCTCGAGAAACTGTTTAGAGGTACTTCGTGGATCCTTACGCATATGCCAAACATTCGGCCCCATTCGTTTTGCCAGTGTGGAGCAAGAACCACCCCACTCCACTCTCATGAATAAACACTTCATTATTTTACACAATGCAATGCTTAAACAATGTTTTTAAAATGGCTGTTAAAATAAACAATGGCCTGAACATATCAACAATGTGCATAAAAGAGAAAAGGGTATTTAAATATTAGTATAGATTTGTGGATTGTGAATGGGTCAAAAGTGGTACCTGATGGGAGCTAGCTCTTAGAGAAAATAATGTTAGCGTCCTTTAATGATGTGTGGATGTGTCCTCCTGGGAGCAAATTGTCAGGAGCTGGTCTCCTGATAGCTCTGTATTCTTGAATGAGAGTGTGGAGAAGGTGATTGCTCTGATGGAAAGAAGGGACACAGCATGTACAAATATGTAACCAAAAAAAAGCAGTTTGAAAGAGAGAGGGAAGAGAGGCAGACAAGAGAACTGTGAATTAGCTAAAGCACCCTGGATGGAGCCTCTCTCTTGGGGGTGGGGTCTGATGTATAACAGATTTGCTGCCCTTTGAAAGTGTGTCTTTTCCTTCACTTCTTGTATATTCTACCAGCTCACTTCTTTTCTGCATTTTGCGAACCATCCTAAAAGCTGGTGGGATAGGACTTTCCTTTTCAGAAGCCATGCTGATTCTTCCTCAACAGGGCTTGTTCTTCTATGCACTTAAAAATTCCACCTTTAGTAACAGTTTGGTGGTGTAATGGTTAGGCTCTGGACTAAGACCTGGGCAACCCACGTTCAAACCCCCAGTGACATTAAGCTTTCTCAGTGACCTTGGGACAGACACTCTCGGACTAACTTACCTCCCAGGGGTGTCAGGAGGATAAAAGGGAGAAGAGAGAATCATATGTGCTGCTTTGAGCTCCTAGAAGGAAGGGCAGGATAAATGTATACTATATAGATATTTATAAATAAAGCAGTTATACAAAAAGACCATACGTCTACAGAGTTCTCTCATCCAAAGGGAACTAGTGCAGGCAGCACTGCCCCTGGAATTTCTTGCCACTGGAAGACGTGGAGAATGCACAGTGACACTCTTTATGAGCTACTGCAGATTTCAGCGGACGTTTCATTGTGCTAGAGCAACATTTTGGGAAGATTTAAAAGTAAGCTCTTGAATTTAAACTGCCCAATTTGTTGAATTTACCTTTTTAAAAAAATACCTTTTAATTATGGCAAAACAGTTTGAATAGGGGTGTAGTGGTTAAGTGCGTGGACTCTAATCTGGGAGAACCGGGTTTGATTCCCCACTCCTCCACTTGCACCTGGCTGGATGACCTTGGGCAAGCTGTAGTTCTGGCACAGCTGTTCTTGAAAAAGAGCCGTTTCTGTCAGAGCTCTCTCAGCCCCACCTACCTCACAGGGTGTCTGTTGTGGGGAGGGGAAGGGAAAGGAGTTTTAAGCCGCTCTGAGACACCTTTGGGTAGTGAAGGGTGGGGTATAAATCCAATTAAAAAAAATAGTGCAGCCTAGCCCGATCTCGTCAGAGCTTGGGAGCTAGGCAGGGTCAGCCATGGTTAGTACTTGGATGGATGACCACCAAGGAAGAACAGGGTTGTTAGGCAGAGGAAGGCAATAGCATATCACCTCTGCTCATCTCTTCCCTAAAAAAATACCCTGAAGGGTTGCCATGAGTCAGCTGTGACTTGATGACGCACAATTATTGTTATAGTTATGGCAATGATATCAAGGTATAGATAGGGACTCTGGGGCAAGTGATGCTCTGTCATCTTGGTGCTTGGGGGGGTCAACAGTGGGAGGGCTTCTAATGTCCTGGCCCCACTGGTGGACCTCCTGATGGCACTGGTATTTCTGGCCACTGTGTGATACAGAGTGTTGGACTGGATGGGCCTTTGGCCTGATCCAACATTGGCATCTCTTATGTTCTTATGTTCATCACAGATCACAGCTACTATTTATTCAGCAGCCACGTGCTGGCATGGCAACCCTGGCTCCTTTGTCATCCCCTCACAATACCCTTCTATAAGGGTGCTGGCTGCCTGTCTCTGTTGAGCAAGGCTCCAATGCTGGAAGCGTGTCATCCACCAGCAAACCCCTGCATGGGCCACCGCTGGGGTTGAACCAGCAAAGGGTCCAGAAACAGAGGAAGAACAGCATGCAGGCACACGATGCATCATTAACATGTGGAACTCACTGCTACAGGATGTAGTGATGTCCCCCAAATTGACATTCTGCCGGGCGTTTGGTTGAGGCAGCGGATGTCCCCCTCCCCCCCCCCCCCGAGCTTCTTCGGCCCTAACTTTTCCTGGTCAATTGTCCACCAGTGGCCCGTTTTTGACTAGTCACCTGACAACTTTTATAGTTACATGGTATTTTACCATTTTATGTGTAAGCTGTTATTTTAATACTGTTTTAATTGTATATTTAGCTGTTGTACACTGCCCTGAGCCCATTGGGGAGGGCGGTATATGAATCTAATAATAAATAAAATAAAAATAAATAAATTAGATGGCTTTAACCGGGGAATTAGACAGATTCATGTCTGTTGCCCTTGATGGCTAAATGTAACATCCATGTCCACCTAGGGGAAGGGGGACCAGGGGAAGGACTCGGCTTCTATGCCCAACCTGCACGCCTTCCAGGATGTCTGGTCAGTTACTGTGTGAAACAGGATTAGACGGGCCACGCTCTTGCGCCCCAAGGCTATTCTTATGACTCATGCAGGAAGAGAAAAATCTCCCTCTCCTACCTTAGATGGCATGCCTGTTTTATGGTGTCATTATTGACAAGGGAGAGCATGCCCTGCAGTACACATTTGAAATTCAGCCTCTTGCGAGCATCTCTCCCTGAATCTAGAATTAATAGCAATTTAAAGACTGAAGCAGACATACAAATTCTACTCCTCCTTCAGGCATAAACCTAACAGCTTATGAGGTGATTGCCCCCCCAAAAAAAGCCCCAACCCCCCCACAACCCTAGAGAAAGTCCTTGGATACAAATTAATATTAGCTTGGTTTCTAAGCCCATCTTTTCCTGTCTTTTCATTTAAAAATAGGTATCAACAAAGTCTGATTTTCTTTATATTTCATCATAG